AGCTACGTCCCATTGCCTTGATTCATTTGCGGAGCGCTCATGTGGCCACGGCACGTTCAAGGCCCACTCGTAATTATATTACTTATTATTTCTATATACATATAAATACAATTATATTCAAATTATTATTATACATCGAGATATATATATATATATATATATTACATATAAAAACAGATTCACACGTATATGTATTACTATATATTATTTTTATAATCAATCATTTCATTGTGTGTATTATTATCATTATATATATATATATTTTTTTTTCCAGACCAATTTCATTTGACGGAAATCCGTCACCTAGACGGAACTCTTTAATCCCTGCCATAGTACTTGGATGGGAGACCGCCTGGTGACCGCTTACAGCACCTTGCTCCTGGAGCTCGGGCCTGGGGGCGAGCTCAACAACAGCGCGAGTTGTTGTTGTGTAGTTGAGTTGAGTTGAGTGCAGCTTGCAGTTGTTTCCGTCTCCCACCATTCATCATTTCCGGCAGCATATCAAACAAAATAATGGAAGTTGTTTTAGTAGTGTTTGTTTCCACTGCATAGCAAAGAAATGGGTGAATATTTTATTTAGAATGTTTTGATTTTCCAATTTAATTTAGAAAATGGAAATACAAAACAACCACGTAATTTGTTTTTCTGATTTTATTTTGAAACGGAATAACTAATGATCGAAGGGTACACGGATTGTTTGAATCCGGTGTCGCAAATAATAATAAAACGAAAATAGTAATGCCATAATTCTTTTGAGAATTTTAAACAACTAGAGCCAAAACAAACACATTGATATTGAAGCATAAAGGATTTTTTTTTTTATTTAAGTTTAGAAAAGGAAAAGAACAATAAACGAATGGAAATTTAGATTTTCTGATTTTATTATGAAACAGAATAACTAATGATCGAAGGGTACACGGATTCTCAACACCCATTCATTTTAGTTTGTGTTTTGAATTAAATGACAGAAGTTAAACTCAGATGAGAATATTGTGAAAAAGTAATAATTATGAAAAGGTATAAGTGGATTTTCTCGCCCTAAACCACAGGGCAAACAAACCAACAACAGATCAAACAATTAAAACACAGGAAATGTAAAAACAACAAACACAGAGACATTGGTACGTAGCGTGCAGGACCGAGGGTGTAGATCCCAGGACACAGGCAGTAGATCCAGGACTGAGGACTGAGGCTGTAGATCCAGGACTGAGGCCGTAGACACACAGATCATGGACCTCACACGTCCTCTGCCTCCTGAGAAGCTGCTCCTAAACAAAGTGCCTTGTGATGCTGCGTCAGACCAAACGCGTTTTTGGCGTCAAAATTACGTCTGACATAATTGGACGCTTGAGACAGATTCTAGCAGACGCTGTCAGAGCGTTCTGGAGGCGCGTCACACGCGTCCAGGACACTAGAAAACAGACTGGGGCGCGTCAGGGAAGAGAGCGTTTTGGGGCGGGGCTTCTCTGGTGCCAACACAATTCGGAGAGGAAGGACACAGCGGCCAAGATGGAAGGTAAAAAGTTTAAAATACGCTTTAAGTAGGACATAAAAGTTCAAGTACGCAAAAAATATGTACTTGTATTTTTCATGACTCTTTACACTTCAGACACAAAAAACTAAATTATATTCAAACCAACAAGTTTGATATTTTTATTTTTTATTCCAGGCTCCTCTATGACACAGTAGCCTCTTCTACAGTGTGCGCTTCAGAGGCAGACGCCCAGGACTCTGCTGTTGTTCCTGCTCCTCCTGTTGCTCCTTCTGCTGCTGATGCTTGTCTTCAGAGACGCAGTGCCCACTGTTCTACCTATTCATAACTGATGATTAAAACATGAAAATATGTTTGTTGAGTTAATTTTGTAAATCCGCAGTGAAGCAGGAGGTGAAGCTGGAGAAACGATGGCGTGTGATTTTGTTGCTGTCCGAGAAAGTCAGAGTTCCGTTTCACCACAAGTCTTTGAAAAAGAACGCAATCATCGCCACAAAATAAAATACAAAAATCCTTCCTGTATTAAATAAAAGAGACATACAAGCTTTCACAGCAGGAAAAACAGACGCTCTGAGGAGTAACAGAAGAATAATATAATGGAAATATACACACAAATAAAACTTAGAAGCATGGCTAACCACTTTAAACCTGTTGGAAGTGAGACTGTCATCTGCAAATACAGTGCCTTGCGAAAGTCATCCCAGTCGTATGAGATTATAAATGATATACACAATCTATTTTATATGAATACAGATAACACGTGTTAGCATACTATAGCTGCTGTCTCCATGGACTCTGTCCATGAAAATGTGACTGTTCCTCAGTGTAGCTTGAATATGTAATCTGTGGGTTTGTTTCTCCCTAAAGATGACATTAGATTTTGCACGGGGAAGTATTAACGATTGTGAAAATTTTAAATAACTTACCTGAGACACCAACCCTCCTCCATTTATGTCACGGTGGTTATAGTCAGCTGGGCTAACAAGCACAAGCTTGTCCTCCATAGCTGATGTGTTGTCTTCCTGTCTTCCCCCTCAGTCCTGTCGTGAAACGTCACTGTTGCAAGCTCCTGATTGGTCGACGCTCGTGTCTTCTCCCAAAAAGTTCAAGAATGTTCAACTCTAGCATCGGCTGCGTTGGAGGCGCAGGACGCACGTAACGCGCGTCCATACGCTTGAAATCTCAAAACGCGCGCGCCAGAAGCGCGAAACGCTTGAAGACACGCCGCGGGATCTCTAGACACTCCTAGAAGTGCATTCCCCATGTACAGTGCCTTGCGAAAGTATTCGGCCCCCTTGAACCTTTCAACATTACGCCACTTTTCAGGCTTCAAACATAAAGATATAAAATTTAAATTTTTTGTGAAGAATCAACAACAAGTGGGACACAAGCGTGTAGTGGAACAAAATTATTTGGATAATTTAAACTTTTTAACAAATAAAAAACTGAAAAGTGGGGCGTGCAATGTTATTCGGCCCCCTTGCGCTAATACTTTGTAGCACCACCTTTTGCTGCAATTACAGCTGCAAGTCGCTTGGGGTATGTCTATCAGTTTTGCACATCGATAGACTGGAATTCGTTTTGCATTGTGGCCAAAAGTTCGATTTTGGTTTCATCTGACCAGAGCACCTTCTTCCACATGTTTGGTGTGTCTCCCAGGTGGCTTGTGGCAAACTTTAAACAAGACTTTTTATGGATATCTTTGAGAAATGGCTTTCTTCTTGCCTCTCTTCCATAAAGGCCAGATTTGTGCAGTGCACGACTGATTGTTGTCCTATGGACAGACTCTCCCACCTCAGCTGTAGTTATCTGCAGTTCATCCAGAGTGATCATGGGCCTCTTGTCTGCATCTCTGATCAGTCTTCTCCTTGTTTGAGATGAAAGGTTGGAGGGACGGCCGGGTCTTGTTAGATTTGCAGTGGTCTGATACTCCTTCCATTTCAATATAATTGCTTGCACAGTGCTCCTTGAGATGTTTAAAGCTTGGGAAATCTTTTTGTATCCAAATCCGGCTTCAAACTTCTCCACAACAGTATCTCGGACCTGCCTGGTGTGTTCCTTTCTCTTCATGGTTCTCTCTGCGCTTTAAACAGAACTCTGAGACTTGATTACACACAGGTGCATTCTATTTATCATCATCAGTCATTTAGGACAACATTGGATCATTCAAAGATCCTCACTGAACTTCTGGAGTGAGTTTGCTGCACTGAAAGTAAAGGGGCCGAATAATAATGCACGCCCCACCTTTCAGTTTTTTATTTGTTAAAAAGTTTAAATTATCCAATAAATTTCGTTCCACTTCACGATTGTGTCCCACTTGTTGTTGATTCATGAAGAAAAAATAAAATTTTTATATCTATGTTTGAAGCCTGAAATGTGGCGAAATGTTGAAAGATTCAAGGGGGCCGAATACTTTCGCAATGGACTGTATTTTCAATGTAAACCCGACGCTTTAGACGCCCAAAACGCGTTTGGTCTGAACGCAGCATGACAGACTCAGTTTTATTTTCTAATGAAAAGATTCATGGCCAATTTTAGTTCTTGTCCAATCATTGAGTTTATTGGTCCTCTTTAATTGCTAAATTAAAAAAATTATGAATAAAATATACAACAAAATTATAACTTGTTTGCACCATGAGTCAAAGTATAGCCCTAGTTTACGACTTCCTGTTACAAGCCAAAGCCCACACAATCCAAGATGCTCGAGGCCTGATTTAGATTTTGGATCAGTTTCTTTGGCCTGCCGTATCTGGCCGCAGCATGTGTCGTTTGTTCTTTCCCTGATCAAAGATGAGCTGTTAGCAGTGGTCCACAGAGGAACCCAGGCCCACACTGTTGGCCTTCCTGTTGTACACAAGATGGTCATCATGCCACTTCCTGACCGATAAACACTGGCCTCCACATAACCTGCAGATACACGCTACATGACGCCTTTGATAACCATTATTCAGTGCTCTGATGCGGAGTGTGACCTGACTCTGGAAAGTCCAACCCAATGAAAGTTTAACAATCATGTACATAAGTCACTCCACCCACTGATAGCCACAGCTGCCCTGGGACCACTGGCCTCTCCCATCCCCATCGACCACACACTTGCCCTGATAAGAGGAACCCCTGTGGGACTACAGCACATGGATATTTGGGGTATAAGCATTCCATTATATCACTCTATACACCGTGGATATAAACCACTGCTGTAGCTACAACTGCCGGGGCAATCTGTGCCACCCCACTGTGCCACCTGGTGTTCCAAGAGGTCTTCCATCACAGTACTAACCAGGCCCTGCCCTGCCTAGCTTCAGAGGTCTGAGGGGACCAAGCTTTCACATTCATGAGGCGCCACAATTAGGTGAAAGGCACACCTATGGGGTCGATAAAGAGAACTGTACTGGATTTTCAACCTGCGGACAGCACAAGTATAGACTGTATACAGATGGGCAATGCTATCACAGACCGTAGCATTAGCATAGACGCAACTAAATCTACACTGGTTTTGCAGATGAGTGCGATGGGGACGCTGGAGAAGGGCGCACACCACCAACCTGTGGACCTGTCTGAGGAGCTGCACCCACATCTCCCCCCTCTCCCTCATCATCTGCCCCCTGTTGAGGCCCCGCGGGTGGTGGTGCCTCCCCCGTACTCTGTGGCAGAGGAGGTGAGTGAGGTTCCTCTGGAGCTCAGGGGCTCTCTGGATTGTTGGGCTTGCTCGGTCCTGGTCACCGTTCAGAACCTGCTCATTGCTGCCGTCAACGCCTGCCTCGCCGCCATGGTGTTCGGCTCCATCCTCACACCAGCAACTGTCATGGTGGCGTTCGGCTTCCTCTGCCACTCCACCGTGAGTACCTCTGTATAGGCACTCATAGCGGCGCATACTGAGGCATGGATGCGACAAGTACTTTTAAAATACTCAGAGGAGCTATAAAGACAAGCTAAAAATAAGTATATGAGACCGAACTGAACAAATTCAAAGCCCATATGAGACCTGGGATGACGAGAAGAAACATTGCTCAGACTCACCTCTCTATTGGCACCGATCTGCTGGGACTGGGACTCTGAGACATTTATTATTTCATAGAAAACCCCTTCACTCAAAAAGGGTCCGTCGCATTTTTCACCGCAGTAAAGTGGCCCGGCATTTTGCCGTCGCAGTAAAGCGCATTAAAAGCGGGTTGCCCCTGTTTGCTGTTACTTACGGTAAAAGTGGAACAGGAAGCCGTGGGGATGAGCAACCAAAATGCAATGTTTAAAATTAATCATCATTCATGAATGAATGAGTGAACAGGTCCGCAGTGAAAGTAGTTGCTAAACTTAAATTTGTTTATACATTTTTATCCCCTCATCCCCCCGGCTTCATGTTCTACGTTTACCGTAGGTAACAGCATAAAATGGCAACCACTTTACTGCGGCCATTTTTTGCTGTTCTTTTCTGAAATAATTAGAAAAAAACGTAATCTGTCCCCAGCGGGTACAACTGACCACACAACCAGAACGGACCATTTGATTTAGTAAAACCTCTCTACAAACGTCTAACGTCTAAGAACCAGCACTGCAGTGGTTCAAGACATATCTGGAACAGAGACAACAGTGTGTAATAATCAATAACAAAAAGTCATCCTTTTTAACTTTAAAATCAGGAGTCCCGCAGGGATCAATATTGGGCCCACTTCTCTTTACACTTTACATTAATGACTTACCAAACGCATCCCCAGGAGCAGGTATCCAACTGTATGCAGACGCTGCAGTTGTATATGTGAGTGGCAAAACAATTGAAACCATTACTGCACAGCTACAGCACCATCTAGAGGCTGTAGCAGAATTTTGAAACCATTCTGGTCTTACTTTAAATGTCAGTAAAACAAATTCTGTAGAACAGAAACAAATTCTGTTCTAGAACACGCCCCGCTGAGAACCTACCCCGCTGAGAACCTACCCCTAACAATTGACAGGCAACACATTGAGCAAGTGAGAGAATTCAAATATTTAGGCCTAATTCTGGACTCTCACTTGCAATTTGACAGTCACATTAACAAGATTGTAAAAAGGACTAAATCAAGTTTGTATAGTTTCAAATTAATCAGAGATTGTTTACCTTTCAACGCAGCCAATATCTTTCTACACGCTATGATTTTTTTCTCAGATAAATTACTGTATCACATGCTGGTCCCAGGCCACAGCATCCACCATCAAACCAGTAAGAATGCTCTACAACAGAGCCGGAAAAATACTGGACAAAAAGCCATTAAGAACACACCATTGCCAGGTGTTGCAGAGACTACATTTTCTTAGTTTTGATAATTTTATTAAATTCTGTAATTGTAAATTATTGTACAAATGTTTGCACAGTCGAGCCCCTGCTGTCCTGAGTGCTCTCATAGTTCCTCTGAGATCCGTCACACGGGGCTCCTCTAACGGGAATGTGAAAGTGCCCCTCAGGAGAACCACATTCGGACAGTCTGTCTTCTTCTCTACTGCAGGTACAGGGAGGATGGTTAGAGTTAATGGGAAAACAGATCTAAAAACAGGGTACTGATGGATGAAAACTTGGGAGTCTGCAAAAGACATGGAAATGGGGCAGAGGTTTACCTTCCAGCAAGAAAATAACACTACACAAAGCCAGGGCTATCCATGTGTTTGAATGGCAGGTAAAGGGAAGGGAAGTCTATATCTTGAGAATCTCTGGAAAGAGCTGACGACAAGTTTCAACTGAGCTCAGCCTTTCTGGAAAGAACGATGGGATCCAGTCTCATGTGCAAAGCTGGTAGATAAACCCGAACAGACTTGCAACTGTAAAAAGGCGATTCCACAAAGTATTGACTCAGGGGGTAGATACTTTTGCACAACTCCCAAAGATTAAATTACTTATTTAACCCACTGATTACATGCAGACTCAAGATCACTCTTGTCTCAGTAAGCATGCAGACATTGATGTGAGAATTGAGGAGGTGAAAATATTCACATATTCAAAGAGAAAAGTTCAACTAGAGCAGAAAACTGTCTAGAACTGCAGACACGGTGCCTTTTGTCCATTGCTCACAAGAATGAGGTGTCCCAGAGGGGGTGCCATCATGTGACCACAGCTCACATAGGGATTAAGCCCCACTTTACCCTCTGGTCCTCTGGCAAATCATGCATCACTCAGGCTCTACACTCTCCACACCAAACAGTGCTTTTAGTTATAAAACAGTCACAGACACTGCTTTCTGTGCAGAGGAAACAAAATGTTGGCAAACTCCTATTGGAGCTTCACGAGAAAATTGAACATTCTCAACAAGACTTTAGTAAAAGGCAAAAATGATCAGGAAGGTTTTTGTTATAAAGCCAGATGCAGCCTAATAAGGTTTTTAAGATTGAAAGTATTTGGTTCTTCTATACCAGACAATAGCAGGTTAGTGATTTATTACCTTGATGTTTTCTAGGATACTTCCGTTTTCAACAGAAGCGTCCTATATTAGTAGACCTGTTACTGGTGATAATTTGATTTATTTGGAATTAACTCTTTCATTAGATTGGTATCAGCAGATTCTGTATTGAATAGTTTCAGAGCCAAAACACAGGATCGGGACACCCCTAGTTTAAAGTAGTGACTCAAAGTCCCCTTGTAAAGCAAGCAGAAACACTTTGTTTTTCCATACTGAACACCGTCATATGCTACCGTTTGTCCTGCAGGTGCGGCCTCTTGGCTCCGCCCCCTACTGCTCGGAGCTGCTCAGTGACGGGGGCTGTGTGGCTCTGCTGGTTGTGGGCTTCCTCCTCATGACTCCCCTCCTGGTCCTGGCTCTCGCTGCCTACTGCCGCCTGGCCAGACACCTGCAGCTGGGCCTCTGCTTCATCCCCTACAGCCGTGCGGTCTACAAGAACCTGCCCGCCTCGCACCACCGCGGCCTGGGCTCTTGCTGTGGAGACCGTCCTGGTGCCCACAGCTCCGGCAAGGCCAAAGTGTGGGTGTGACCAGGGCCCTGCCAGCCAACCAAGACCCTCACGTTGATATACACAGGAGTTCAGATGAAGCGTGAAGGAGTTTATGCAGTCAGCCACCTCTCTGAAAGACTCATTCTGTTGTAGACAATTATACCAATTCAATACGTGGAATATTAGGGGGATTGGTTTTATTGTAACATTCTACTGAAACTCATAATGGGCATCTCATCCTTTTAGGTTTCATTAAACAAATTCATTTCTCCAAAAAAAGTCTCACATATTATTAAATGATTCTCTTGCATTTTATGCCTTTGAAGTGACACTGCTGGGAACATGTTTTATACTATACTGTTGGTTTGACCTCAGAGCTCTGCTGGGCGTGTAGAGCGGGAGGTGGGGCCATGAGACTTCCGATTACATCTTGTTTATATTAAAAAACATAAAACTAAAAGATTTATCATCCCAATTGGCAGGAATGTCCTGTTTGTGCATCTAAACCCACAAAATCCAGGCACCTGTATTGTGGGTCGATGAGTGGCTTCAGGTCTGCTACATGAGGCATGCAGTTTGTCCCATGTGATAGTTACAAAATTAAGCCAAGATACTGAAAATGACAAGAGATGCAGTAGTCTGGGATTGTGTCACAGCAAAAGACATTTGATTGTTGGTAAAAGACACAACACAGAATTTTTCCAGCATAAAGATGGATTTATAAAAGACAAAACAGGGACACACATCAAGTGGAAAAATTCTGACTTCTGTCAACTGTTGTAATAACAAGCTCAGTTTTGACATAATTGCATAAAAAGATATGAGATAGACTTTATTGATCTCACACAGGAGAAACAAACATGTTGAATGCAGGATATATTATGGAAAATAAGAAGTGGCAGTTAAAGACTGACAGAGCAGTCAAATGAAAGTGACCAGCACGACAAATGAAAGTGACCAGAAGAACCAGTTAATAAGGGTAGAGCGCAGAAATTATGCAGTCAAGATTCCCAGAGGCTTCCTGTCTACAGCCGTGCTTTTCTTGACTGTAGACGGCCAATCAGGAGCAGAATCTACAAGCCTGACTGTAGGCAAATGTACTCTCCCTCTGCGCTTCACGCAGGCAGATTGAAATCAGCGTTGCGAGTTTCCGGACTTGTGAAGATGAAGTTTTCTATCTCTGGTCATGTCTTTGCCACATATTTGGGTAAAGGTCTCAGCCACCCCCGGTGCTCAGCAGCAGGCAATAGTACTGGCCACAAACGAGGCACGGCTATCAGAAGAGGCAGCGTACTTTCCCGATCCCACCGGCTTAGTTAAACCGGGAGCAAATGTCTTTGGCCTATGGTATAGTACAGGGGTCGGGAACCCAAAATGTTCAAAGAGCCATAATTGACAAAAAAACTAAAAACAACATCTGTCTGGAGCCCCAAAAAAATAACAGCCTTGTATAAGGCTTTTATGAAGTTAACACAGGCTGCAAGATGTATTAGCTACATTAGCCTATTATCTAAATGACAAAGTAAAGGCTACAAATACATAATAATCATTCATGATTATCAAATGTGTGTTTTCACTGCAGCGTGTCGTGAATGACGCAACACGGGACAACTCTGCTTTAGTTTAACTTCCATTTTTTTGCCTTCATGCAATTGTAGAAATACAGTAAATAAATCTGCTTTGGGCTCAGAGGTCACACACCTGCATCACTGTCTGCTCATATCCATCACGTCACAGGCTGAAGTTTGCTGGAGCTGAATTAAAATCCTTAATGGCCTTTTCTTTCACCGTCTTTGAGAAGGTTTTGAAGTCTGAAAATAGGTGCTCTGAATTTTTGATGAATCCTTCACGTAATCACCGTTTACGGTGTTTTGCGCGTCATTGTTCCTCGTGTTGCAACAAAACTTTTCATTACAAACATGAAGCAGTCCTTCCTCATTGACTGAAAGAAAATGTTCATTCTCATTCTTAGTCCAGTCTTGTTATCGACTCTTTCTCGTTTTAGCTTTGGGATCCATGTGCACTTAGTCTATGATGCACACACGCCGGTTTGTTTACAGCAGCGGCCACATGGGGCGGAGCCGCGTGACTGCGCGTCATAGGATATGACGCACTACGTTGACAGAAATGTTGAAATGAGATATTACTTATACATATTTTTACAACATTTGTTTTTAAAATATGTTTTCCTTCTACAGAAACCACATTCAAACTAGAAATAAAATATAGCCCTCACACTCCATTTTCAGACATTTTTGAAAAGGCTCCAGGAGCCACTCCAGGAGCACTCAAGAGCCGCATGCGGCTCCGGAGCCGCGGGTTGCCGACCCCTGGTATAGTAGATGCTCGTTTCATTCTTTCCTGCCCTTTTGAACACTTTCATGTGTTTTTTGCTGCCCGTGTCTCTCATCCACTGTTAACATCTCACATGTCAAACAATAGAGTTTGAATATTGATCTTTACGCATTATGATCAGTGAGTCGCTATTTGACTGATTAGCTGCATGAAGTGAACCTCTTGTTTCCACATGTATTTTGTCAGGTGGTGAATTTGTTTCTCTTTAGTTTGAAAGTTAGGTATGTATCCCAGGATGGTTCAATTTGAGTTCAGATGTATTTGCTTTGTCCAGCTGAAGCGCAGGCGTGCTATGAAAACAGACAGAATGTGGTTCTAGCCTCCAGAGGCTCCTGGCTTCATCAGTGGAGCCGTGAAACGTCTTTTTTCGAAGCCGCTTGTTTGCTTAGTGTCCAGTACGTCTATGGAGGTGCTCTCTTAAGTGTTGTTGCAGGGACAGGTATGTGGGAGCAGGAAAAGGTATGCACCTGTACAAGTCTGGATACCCTTCCAGAGTGAGCATTTGTAAATAAGTATGATTCATAATAATGTTTGACCATGGGATCATGTTTTTCTTTAAGGCGCAACACATCTGATATTTCTGGCTAGTATTCCATGATAACAGAGGTGCTGTGGGCCCTGCACATAGGCAGGGAGGAAGAAGGAAGAGGTCCCCTGAATTGGGTACTGGCTCGTATGGGACTCTGCCATTGTGTCCCAGCTCAGTGAGGCTCATATCAAGCCTTCTTCCCTGCAACACAGACCAGCAGGTACCTTTGTAGAACTCTAAACAACAACCAATGGTAATAATACCATCAGGGCATATGCTCTTCATTCAAGTTGGGCAGGAGAGGGCCATACCATGGTCAAGGTAGAGGCAGGTCCAGAAAAAACCATGTTGTAAATTATTTTCTACGAAAGAACCTGTACTCCACACTGTTGGTGCCCCTCTTGGACAAAGGAGGGATTGTCTCTGCCACCAGTTTCAGGCTCCACCACCACAGTACGCCTTCCTACTGAGGCTCAGAATGTGCAGGACTACAGGGGACAGACCCTGTCTACCTTCTGGCAGAGCAGCTTCACTGAAATAGAAGCGTGAACAGAAACTACCGGCAGAATCAGCCTGAACTCCTCAGCCTTCTGTCCTGTTAGTGTAGGGTCTTGTTGGACAGTTGGTGTCCAACAGAAAGGATTGGTGATGATCAGAACACTTTAGCATTCTACAACATGTATGGACATTTTCTTCTGTGTGTGCTTTATATTTTTCATGTGTTTTAACCCTTTAAGCGCCAAAGTCGCAATATTGCGACAAGCAACATTGCTCACTTTAACAGGCTGAATGTAAAAATGTGGTACAGAATCTTGTTAATACTTTTCACCAGGGGTTAGTGGACATGTGTGCCTGTGATATGAGCAGCATTTGTGGGTGTGGTTATATTGAAAGTTGAGTAAATTGAGTTCGTAAAACACCTGCGGCGCGGAGGCGAAGCAGTAGCGGTAGAGCTGAGAGGAGCGAGAGCAGAGCAGAGGGAGAGAGTGTTTTTTATTTTACTCACGAGGTCTTCAGTACCAGAGAAGTACTTGGTCTGGTACTGGCTCACTCAGATTCAGAGGAGGAAGACACTCAGGTGTCCAGTGAAGCAGACACGGACATTATTGGTGACGGGGAGACCGCGCTCCATAGTCCACAATCAGCCCCTGTGCAGCGGCTGCTTGTCCTCCGTGTGGCCACGGTAGTAGCATTCTGTGTACGCCAAGCAGGGACCGTGGTCGAGGGGACAGGGGGATCATAACACCGGGCATGTGGAAGAAAGTAGCAGGGGTAGACATCCACGGGAAACGCGGGAGAGCCGCGGGGAAAAAAACACATCGCTAATCGCGTTTACTGCCTTTACCAACAGTGATGATGAGGATGAAGGCAGTTCTTGAGAGAAAATAATCCACTAAAGTGGATTAGAAGTGTTGAAGAGCCTGTTGTATGTTCTGAGCCCATTCATTTCATCTCTGTTTGTAAACGGTAAATCCTTGAGCCTCATTTCCACTGAGAAAAATAGTCAGCTCACCACTTCTTTGAAAGGGAAATATTGAAACCAATCTCAAGATTTCATGACTGTAAACTATAAAGAGTGCTGTCTTGATCACTGAAGGTCTTTGAAAATAATACAATTCCATATGGCCGCGAACCGGTGCTAAAACATTATCTATAATCTGGATCAGGGAATTTATTTCTATCCCAAATTCATTTTATACTAAAGATATTTCACATTGACTGTTTATAGTATTCCCTGATCTCAAATAACTCCCAAGCTACAGCTTTTTGAAGTCTTTATACAATAATTAACATTTTCCAAAATGGCCGCCACCTTGATGACGTCACAATATGCAAATTAGATGACGAATCAACTTCCATCCCAAAGTTTGGTTCAAACTGAAGATATTTCTAATTTACAGTATGCCTTTATCTCAAACCATTTTAAAGTTATAGCCTTTTGAAATCTTGAAATCAAAATTGTATATTTTCTTGAAAAAACTCTGGCGCCTAAAGGGTTAACTGTTGATTCTCTGAACTGTGTTGGTGATTTCAATGGTTTTGTTAAGTCCTCTGAGATGACTTCTATTGTGACCTAGGGCTATACAAGAATAAATTGTATTGTATTGTATTGTATGGAGCCTGTCTGGAACACAGCTGCAGTAATCACCTTTACCAGCAGGGTGTATTTTTGGACACCATTTTGAAGCCATTTTCCTCAGACAGCTTAAGTTTTTTTTCAAGCCCTCTGCAGGTCATTCATTTCGTCCCCTGGCTGATTCTGGGATTTTTGCTTATCATTATTGTGATCATTTTGCACAATATGCAAACTTTATCTTTAATACAATTATAAGTTTAATTATAAATGACCGACATCGTGAAAGGAAGGGATCAAGGTTGTCCCTTGTGGCCTGCACTTCTCTGCTAGTGCAAAAGCTTACAGCACCTGGTATTCCCAGGCGAATGCTCCTCCAAGTCCCTGGTCCGACCAATGGTTGAGCGAGTTTCCTGCTCAACAGACCAATGGTTGAGCGAGTTTCCTGCTCAACAGACCAATGGTTGAGCGAGTTGAGCTGCTCAACGGACCAATCATTGAGCAATCTGAAGCAAACAAGATGGCTGCCGCCACTCCACCGTTGTCACAACTATACCGGTACTTTCCGTCACTTCTTTGGACTATTTTAATCTCTCTTTGGGGGTTTTCTTCAGAAGCAGCAGGTAAGGCGCATGTTTCCTCTGTGTCTGTGGCCGCACATTGTCTGTGGATTGTTTTTAAGTCCGTCTCTGCGCTAGATCTGTAGCGGTACAAACCTGACAGACAGCGTTAGCATTAGCCTACTGCTAGCTCCGGGTAACGCTATGTGCTTGCAATGATGTGAAAACGTAAATATTTACATGAATAACGCCATAAATATCCCGTTGAAACCGTGCAACATGTGTGTTGAGTGATGCACGAATATATAATGAATTATTCTGTGAGGCTTCTGTATAAAATAGTCTGCAACAGACAGTGTACTGTAATATACAGTACAGAAGATATTGATAATCTTTTGTTTGTCTCACAGAAGGGACATTTCACTGTCATCGTTGCACTTTACAGCAGAATATAAGAAAGGAGGAGCTAAGCACTCAAATAGATCCTGTAAGGTGTGCAATCTAAGATAATAGATAAAAGGAAATAATAATAAGTTCTTAGTAATAAAATAAAGTTCCAAGGATATTTAACTAGTGTATACACTAGTCAGCAGGAGGTATTTACAGATGGAACCTAATCTATTATAGAACCTATTAAATGTTGACTTAAAAATAAAGGTGTAATACTGCAATGCATTCGGGGGTATTGATGTTGCTATATGATGAACATAACAGGAAAGCATTTGAGCTATTGTGGTTTGTTTTGTTTCAGAGATATCTGCATAACAACTGAGGAACCTACTTTTCTTTTCATCATCTGCATCTCAGAGACATGGAGGTAAAAGCAACACATAACCACATGCATGCAAACCATGCAAACCAGTGAATCACTCATATGGACCAACTTAAATAAATAATTATGTTAATTAACGGGTTGGACTAATAATAAAAATGATGATAATGATAATAATGAAATGACATAATCCTGTAATTGGTCACTTGACACATGTCTGTAATGTAAGGTTGATCATGATAGTGTTTGTGCTTTCCCACATCAGGCGCCTGGACACCAGTGCAGTGTGTGTGACAAGAGCTTCTCTCTCGAGTCAAACCTGACCCGCCACATGCAGCTCCACACGGCACAAGAGGAGCACATGTGTGATGTGTGTGGACAGCCAGATTGAGCCTTTGTGGCTGGATTGTGACCAGGCAGAGGCTGCAGCCAGGAAGACCAGGGGAGACATGTGGGAAGGACACTGGTGTTCACTTTTAGCAAATACTCTGGCCACTCTTTCAGCTGGCTGCTGGAGAATGATGTGGGCTGCTGGCAGAATACTGCTAGTTACTAGTACACTAAAGCGGGATAATCCCATTAAAACTTTTTGTGTCCTTTTCATTAAAAAGCATAACTCATGGAAATAATTCCCCTGTTTAAGTAATATTAAGTCATTGTGCAATCTACAGATCTACAGCTACAATCTTGTCCAAATGTCTCCGCTTTTGCAAGGTAAATTGATAGATATTAAACCACCATATTGTTTTATTTATCAGTTATCAAATAAGTCGATACATAATTATTGTAACTGGCCTTGTTGGAAATGATGCGTACATGTACAGACTATTAACAAATTAGCATATGGGATGGCAGCTTCCTTATCGACATTCAAATGTGATGGTTTTTTCCTCTCTTCAGAGAATGTCCTGGATGAGGAGCATGTCTCCACAGCACTTGCAAGAATGACCCCCTGACCCCCCCCGGTGTCTCAGGCCTTGGTCCTCGTTCTGTAGTTTAAGTCCTGGATCTATAGCCCGTCCGTCCATTTGGAGCGGATCCCTTTCTCAATATCTGGTCTCCCAGAGGTTTCTCACTTTTCTCCCACTGGGTTTTAGAGTTTTTCTTCTTATGCAGGAGGGTCTATTGGACAGTTGGTGTCTAACAAAAAGGACTGTGATGATCCAGGACACTTTAACATTCTACAACATGTATGACATTTGTGTCTACTCCTTATGGACCAATGGTTCTGTGTTTTTAACACTTTAAGCACAAGCACAATGATATTCTCTGATGTGTGTTTTGAAAGCTATACAACGTATTATGTGCTTTGAATTTGCCTGATATTTATTAAATTTTTTAAATTAAGTCTCGATGCTCTTTCAATATTATCCATGCATTATTTGACAGGGACAATGCAGACACAGTCATAAACAAAGCTTGCAGCTAATGTGATGAATATAGTTTATAACAGATGCTAATTCACAACTCCTGTCCCTGGTTGGGCTTTACTACTATAAAAGTCAATACAATTCCTACATTATAGAAATACGCTTAATTTACAGCCTTTAGACTTATACTTTATTGAGAGAATAGAATAATCTAGAAGTAGATGCTCAGGAATATACATATTTGTGAATATGTACATTTACAGTATAAAATACAAAAAAAGAATACTACACATCTGTTCACATACAATACAGTGTGACATGAACGTGCTCCACAAGGTAAGAGCTCTGCAGGGGGTGCTTTGAACAATTAATGCCATGATTCATGAGAAAGTATTCAAGTCTATTTGATTGCCAAACACAAATGTAAACTAAATTATCAAGATAATCAGCAATAAATGGTAAAATCTACATAAATATAAAAACGGGTGGACGTGGGCTCGAACCACAAACCTCTGGATGCAACTAATAGCAATAAATGGTCAAATATACATTAATATAAAAACGGGTGGATGTGGGCTGGAACCACAAACCTCAAGACGCAACTAAGAGCAATAAAAAGTACATTCTACATAAATCAAAAAATGGCAAGACCTGGGCTCGAACCACAAACCTCGAAACATAACTAAGATCAAGCTGATCCTAAGGTTGAGCGATCTCAGGATAGGTACCTGGGGGGGTCATTAGCCATTCCCAGGCGGTCTCCCATCCAAGTACTAACCAGGCCCGACCCTGCTTGGCTTCCGAGATCAGACGAGATCGGGCATGTTCAGGGTGGTATGGCCGTAAGCAAAGATTGAATGTGCGCAATGTGTTTTTATATTTTACGAAATACGCATTGTTGCTGTCATACAAGGACTCTCAGTGACGTGTCTGACCTCTGTGCATGACTGCACTATTCACTGCTTAAATCTGAATCAGACTTCTGTTACATGGCCTAATCCCTGAGGAGCACCATATGTTTTTACTTTAAATTACCAGTTTATGACAATGAGAGCACAGAAACACCTTAACCCTTTAAGCGCCAAAGTCGCAATATTGCGACAAGCAACATTGCTCACTTAAACAGGCTGTATGTAAAAATGTGGTGCAGAATCTTGTTAATACTTTTCACCAGGGGTTAGTGGACATGTGTGCCTGTAATATGAGCAGCATTTGTGGGTGTGGTTATATTGAAAGTTTTTGAGTAAATCGAGTTGGTAAAACACCTGCGGCGCTGCAGCGCGGAGGCGAAGCAGCAGCGGTAGAGCTGAGAGGAGCGAGAGCAGAGCAGAGGGAAAGAGTGTTTTTTATTTTACTCACGAGGTCTTCAGTACCAGAGAAGTACTTGGTTTGGTACTGGCTCACTCAGATTCAGAGGAGGAAGACACACAGGTGTCCAGTGAAGCAGACACGGACATTATTGGTGACGGGGAGACCGCGCTCCATAGTCCACTATCAGCCCCAGTACAGCGGCTGCTTGTCCTCCGTGTGGCCGCGGTAGAAGCATTCTGTGAACGCCAAGCAGGATCCGTGGTGGAGGGGACAGGGGGATCATAACACCGGGCATGTGGGAGAAAGTAGCGGGGATAGACATCCACGGGGAACACGGGAGACGCGGGAGAAGTCGCGGGAGAGCCGCGGGAAAAAAACACATCGCTAATCGCGTTCACTGCCTTTACCAACAGCGATGATAAGGATGAAGGCAGTTCTTGAGAGAAAATAATCCACAAAAGTGGATCAGAAGTGTTGAAGAGCCTGTTGTATGTTGTTGAGACGATCTGCCAAGTTCTGAGCCCATTCATTTCATCTCTGTTTCTAAACGGTAAATCCTGGAGGCTCATTTCCACTGAGAAAAAATAGTAAGCCCACTACTTCTCTGAAAGGGAAATATTGAAACCAATCTCAAGCTTTCATGACTGTAAACTATAAAGAGTGCTGTCTTGATCACTGACGGTCTTTGAAAATAATACAATTCCATATGGCCGCGAACCAGTGCTAAAACATTATCTATAATCTGGATCAGGGAATTTTTTTCTATCCCAAATTCATTTCATACTAAAGATATTTCACATTGACTGTTTATAGTATTCCCTGATCTCAAATAACTCCCAAGCTACAGCTTTTTGAAGTCTTTATACAATAATTAACATTTTCCAAAATGGCCGCCACCTTGATGACGTCACAATATGCAAATTAGATGATGAATCAACTTCCATCCCAAAGTTTGGTTCAAACTGAAGATATTTCTAATTTACAGTATGCCTTTATCTCAAACCATTTTAAAGTTATAGCCTTTTGAAATCTTGAAATCAAAATTGTATATTTTCTTGAAAAAACTCTGGCGCCTAAAGGGTTAAGTACAAACAGCTTTGCATCAAAAGAAGAGAGCTGCTTTAGCAGATACTTCTATAATCACAAAGCCTAAAACAACACTCTAAATCCCGCTACTTTTTTAATACTCAATACGTCACATGGAAACTGCTAAATACTGTTTGCTTCTCTGCAAATGAAAGTGACCAGAAGAACCAGCTGATCTATATTGTGGATGTTTGTCTTTGAACCAGTTGATCAGGGGAGAGCGCGAACGCAGTCCCCCACTACCAGAAATTATGCAGTCGAGATTCCCACATTTGGGGAATTCGCAAAGGTCAGCACAACCGGAGTGCAATGGTTGAGCCTCGCCCTGGGTGAACCACCTTCATGATCATGGTATCTCCCCTGCCAGGTAAGTATGAGTTGTACAGGGGCCCACAGTGGGTCTCATTCACAGCCCTGGTTATCTTAGTCAGAGGAGTCACAAGGGCTTACCCATCATGCACTGCTCCGCAGTATGCAAAGGATGCTTCCATTTGGCCTGAAATATTTCAAAGTCATAGCTGCTTTTGATTCAACGACAGAAAAGACCATCTGAGAGTTCGCAGTGAAGAGAGTGAACCAGCAGCTTAAGCACAAACAACTACAAACTTTACTTTAATCAGTCTGAGAGCAGACAAAGACAGGAAGTCCCTCCCTCAAATGTGTCCGGTTCAAAACAACCAACTCTCCCTCCCCCGTTCCACATGGCGCACTAGAAATGGCAAGAACAAAGGAACCACTTGGGCTTCTCACACACCTCTTTATGAAACACTGTGTCCACATCTTCAGAAAACACTAAACTTCAGATCAGAAGAGTTTACAAGGATTTTTAAAACACATGTTATCAGTGTATTTTATAACTTCGACATAATGCAGTGTAGGTTGTGTTTACACAGCTTATAATTGTATTTAAGATATTGTGAGATTTCATAACACTTTGAAGCAACTTTTGTTAAAGTTAAACTCATCATTCTACCAATGTGCAGAAGCCAGTACTTTTCCCTTGTTTTGTCTATCTGAAGGCCAAGCTACATGGCACCGTGGCAGCTGCTGATTGGAGGTCTCCATGCCTCCGCTCTGTATAATACACTTGCATTCTGTTGTTCGTGCTGTCTCTACCATCGACAATAAAACATGTCTTCTGTCTGAATTAACTCATTGAATGCCAGCCTATTTCAGAACAGGTACTCCCACAGTGCCAGCCATTTATGATGATTTTTACTGATTTTTCAAGACCCACAGAATATTGTGTACTATGACTATCTGAAATCCGACACCATATTCTAAAAGAATGGACTGTCTACTTTCCTCAGCAAAAAGAATTTTGTTTATAGCTTTTTTTGTTGCCCTGTAATCCTCCGTTGAGTAGAGGGAAGTTTTACTGAAATCACCAGAAATCACCAGAAAGTTGAGAAAAAAGAGGCAAAACATGTGCACCTACATCTTTTCAAACCATTCAGAGAGAAATGCTGACACCTGCTGGCTCGATAAAATATGGTCTCAAGTCATCCCCATACATATTAGATACAATAGACATCTGGGAACGTGAAAATAGCGAA